TAGGGCCCAGGAATGATGTTATATATATCCAAATGGCCCTTGGCAGAAAAAAGGTTCCCCAGACCTGGTAGGTCTAAGCAAGAGAGGGCAAAAAGCAAAATGAAAGAAACCACAAAATAGGAAAAACAAAACCAAACCCAGAAAACTCTGAATGTTAAAACTGTGGCCTAGCATCATGGTCAAAAATAAACTAAGGCCGTGGTTCCTAATGACTCTTCTAGGAAGGGGAGTCCAGGCTCTCAGGAAAACGAAAGGGTAGTTCCCCAGACAAAAACGGCCACGCACTGCATGAACCCATTTATATGAACCACTGAGCAGAGGGAAAACCCACAGAGATAAAAAGCAAATGGGTGGTTTCGAGGGAGAGGGAAAATGAGGGCCGAGGGCTTGATGAATACAGGGTTTCCTTTTGGGGTGATGAAATGGCTTGGAACTAGACAGAGGTGATAGTTGCATAACATTGCAAATGTATAAACACCACAAAATTGCATACTTCAAAGTGGTTAATTTTATGCTATGTAAATTTTACCTCGATTTAAAAAAGAAAGAAAGAGAGAAAGAAAGAGAGAATTTCAAGGGGGAAAAGGGATGTGTGTCCAACATGAGGAGTAGGAAGATTAGGAACCCAGGGTGCTGGTGGCTCCACTGTCTCCGTGGAACTCCAGCTCCAGGCTCCCCTGAGTTCCAGTCTCTGAGGGTGACAAGGACAGAGGTGAGCGGACTGAGGGAGGAGGAGAAGGGCACAGGGAAGGAGACTGGACAGAAGCACTTCGGAAAAGGAGCGGATTCCGAGCTGCTGAAAAGCTGTAGGTTAGGGTCACAGCACACTGCTCCTTTTATTTATTTATTTATTTATTTTTTAATATATACATATATTTACTGATTTCAGAGAGGAAGGGAGAGGGAGAGAGAGTTAGAAACATCAATGATGAGAGAGAATCACTGACTGGCTGCCTCCTGCACACCCCCTACTGGGGATCGAGCCCGCAACCTGGGCATGTGCCCTCGAACAGAATCGAACCTGGGACCCTTCAGTCCAGAGGCCTACACTCTATCCATAGAGCAAAACCGGCTAGGGCCACACTGCTCCTTTTAGATGTAAGAAACTGAGAAATGCTGAATTAGAAAGATGGAGGGGTAGAAAGGTGACCAGCAGAAAAAACATGAGAATATTCCTGACAAAGGGATAGGAATGCCTCAAAAATGCCCTCACACCAAGGAAGAGTGAACCTACTATTTTAATATGCCCTATAAAAATAAAGCCAAAACCACCAAGGAGGGAATGAATGAATGGAGGGAGAAGGAAAAAAGGGAGAGAGGGAAGGAAGAATTTAGATAAATATTAGAGAACTGCTTGCTGGTTAATGAGAAATTTGACTTTCAAGGTTTTTGGTCTACTTTAAGCAGAATCGCTATTGAGTTCTGTGTCCTTTTTTTTGAGAGAGAGAGAGAGAGAGAGAGAGAGAGAGAGAGAGAGAGAGAAGGAAAGAGAAAGAGAAAACAAAAAAACCCAGCACGTGCCCTGACCAGGAGTCAAACTGTTGCAAACCAGTGACCCTTTGGTGCATGGGACAATCATAACCAACTGAGCTACACTGGCCAGGGCCAGTTTTATGTCTTCTGTTTGGGCTTAAGACCACAACCTCTCAGTAACAGTCAATTAATTAGTATATTCATGCTAGGGATCTATTTATAGCCTGTTTTATCATCTGTTTTTTAAGGCAAATGGCAGGATACCACAGTCTGAGCATAAATGTTTACTAAACTCCTCCATGTGCTAGGCCTGGGCTACCAAGTCAATGGGGCACAGTCTTTGCCTTCTAGGGGGTTTGGGGAGCACAGTGGAGTTACTTCTCTACTGCAAGAGGAGCTTCTGGTCTGGAAAGCTTCCTCTCTATAGGGGGTGGTAGAGAAAGCTTGCCTTTAAGAGAGGCCTGTGGTTAAATCCTAGTTCCACTTCTAACTGGACTTGTGACTTAACCATTCTGGGTCTCAGTTTCTTTACCTGTAGAATGGGACGACACTAACTCAGAGGGTTGTTATGAGGAATAAATAAGGTAGGATATGTAATGTACCTAAGCAAGTGTTGGCTGTAATGGGTTCTCGATATAAGGTAGCTGTTTTAAATTACATGTGAACATGTGGGGTGTGGGGAGGGCATTCTGGCCAGAGGGAGTGGCAGGAGGGCAGAAGCCATAGAAAGCATAGCTCTTGGGGAAGGAACTAAAGAGGGGGCTGGATGAAGTGCAGGTAATATAATAGGTACGTAATAGGAGAGGATCTGTAATGAGGCTGGGCAGAGGCGGGGACCCATTCTGTAAGGGGAGGGGGCCTCACCCTGGGCTAAGAAATTGGGTTTGACCCTGTGGGCAGGAGGACAGCAAGTGGAGTCTCCCACCCAATCCCCTCTGCTACAGTCACCATCATTATTCTTGAACCTTTTCACCCTCCAGGTCCTTATAAAATTGACAAACATCACCTCTTGGACACGGGTCCTCTTGGATGAAGGCAAGTCATCTCACTTAAATTGTCTGGACAGAGGACTGTGAACTGGTTGGTTATCAACTTAAGAATTTCTCAGTAAATATCTGCTGGGTGAACTTCTGTTCCAGGCTCCATGGGGATAAACGGCAGCTTATGATCTTAGCCAGGGAGATGACAGACCCACAGAGTGACAGCGCAGGAAATGCCACAGGAGTGGGGACAAAAAGTGGGACAGGGGTTTGGCAAGGCTCAGACTGGCGGGCAGAGCCAGCCCTGGGGGGTATCTATGGCTGGGTCTCACAGAGCTGCTTGTCACAGGCACTAGAACTGCCAATGTACAGAGAGGATAAAAAGCAGACCTTCAGTGATTTCAAACCCTCTAAAGTCAAGGCCCCACTTATTGCCTGCGCCCAGGGCCCCGTCTTCCATTTGGAATTTTCGTACGCTGTCTCTGAGCCTTAGTTTCAGAACTGGCAAATGGGGATAAACACCCACCTAACAGTGTGTTCTGAGAACGATGAGTTCACTCTCTTTCACAGATCACAAGCAAACCAGCTAGCATTTGTTTCTGCATGAAGAAAAGTGGCTGAAAGCTTATAAAGCACTATTACTATAAAGACATTAAAACATCTCCCCCCTCCTCACTTTGTAACAGTGTGAAATGAGATAATCTGAAGTAAAAATGCCTCCTGGCCCAAAGTTTGACACAGAATATGGCGCTTGACATGTGTTCCTTGTCGCCTGTCATCCTCCTTTCTTGTTTTCCTCCCCAGACAGTTCCAGACCCAGTGTAGATAACTCAGCCAGTGTTTGTTCAGTTATCTTTCTGTCTACATCAGCTCTGGGCATCTTATTAGCACGCACCATCTAAGGTGATGAGAAAACAAGAGGCATGGCAGAAACAGCAGCCTTACTTTCCCTCCCAGCAGGCCAAACATCTTCCACCTAAGGCAGCGGTTCTCAACCTGTGGGTCGCAACCCCTTTGGCGGTCGAACGACCCTCTCACAGGGGTCGCCTAAGACCATCCTGCATATCAGATATTTACATGACGATTCATAACAGTAGCAACATGACAGTTATGAAGTAGCAACGAAAATAAATTTATGGTTGGGTCACAACATGAGGAACTGTATTTAAAGGGCCAGAAGGTTGAGAACCACTGACTAAGGAAAGGAGACTAAGGTGGATGCACCATCCCAATCTCCAACAAAAATGTGTCTTCTTAAGAGCCTGTCCCAAAATACAATTACCAAGTGCTGTCGGGCATCACACATCAGCATACACAATGTTTCAGCTCTCCCTGTTTCCCCAAACACTCCAAGAGATCATGCTCATGCTAGCCACAGGCAGGCCCGCCAGTTGCTGCAAAACTCTGGGCTCCTGTCTGGGACTCTTACTTTTCCTAAAAGCATCACCTCAATATTACTCTGAGCAAAGGCAGCAGAGAAGATGCTGTCACCTCTTAATCTTGATGCCTCTGAACTGTTCCTAGTGTGGAAACAATGGGTGCACACTCTCACAGACCACAAGCAAACCAGCCAGGATTTGTTTCTGTGTGAAGAAAAGTGGCTGAAAACTTATAAAGCACTGTTACTATAAAGACATTACATCTTTTCCCCCCTCACTTTGTAACTACTGTCTTTACAGGCTACAAACAACCTCTCTGCGCTGCTTTTTTTTAGGGGGCAGAGGTTGGAAAATACATTTATTTGGTCAAGTGGCCAGATACTTGAAAACACACTCCTCCTGGTAAATGTATTCTAGTGCGCAACCTCCACCTTGCAGCAGACCAGACACTGAAATACCGAAATTCCACGGTGTCTGATGGAGCTGAGCTGTGATCTCTTTCCTCTACTCTCCCCGGAACTGGGTTCTAGGTAACAAACCACCCCACCTGGACACCAGCCCCTTTAGCACTCAAGGCCTGTGCCAGGGGCTGCTGGTACTGACTTTCTCCTAAACGTGCCAAGCGACTGAGCTTTTCTCTATACCATTTTCCTCACCTGTAAAATGTTCAAGAAACACAATTCCAGCAAAACTAAACTTCAGCGGGAGCGGGTCTCCACTTGATACTGAAAAGGGCAGAAAGTTCACTGGGGCAACGGGAGACTTTCTTTTGGGTGGGGTCCTGGGAGGAACACTGACGACAAATGCAATGAAGCAGCGCAAGCTTCCCCAGGAACACCCGGCCCCTACTCCTCCCTATCCAGCACCCAGCTCGCAGGCCGGGGCACCCTCCACAACCCAGGGCCAAGGGGCCTCAGCTGAGCCCCGAAGCGGGGTGGGTGATGCGCACGCCCGGCCTGGATAAGACGGGGAGACTGTGGACCTCAGCCCCAACGCCTGCTCGGCTTCTGAAGGAAACTGAGGCGGAGGGCCAGCCGGGGACACCCCCCTCTAGGAGAAGGCGCCACCTGTACCCACTGGGTCTCCCGGCAACGCCCCGCCGCCCGCCCTCCCCATGCCCGAGGGGGTCCGGGCTCGTGGCCGGAGGAAGCCCGCGGGCAGCGCTCACCTGGCATGCGGCCTGGAGCGCGGGCCGACAGCAGGGGGCCGCACAGACTCAGCCCCGCCGCCACGAGCAGCAGCCGCCGCAGCCCCATTGTCCGAGGCTGGGCGCGCACCGCGCGGCGCGCTCCGGAGACGGTCCCGCCTGCGGGAGGCTGGAGCTCCGCACTCTCCCCGCTCCCGCCCGGTCCAGCCGCGGGAGGTGCGGGCGGCCGGCAGAGCGCTCTCCGCGGGTGAGAAGCGGAGGGTCGGCGTCGCCCGCGGCTCGCTCGGCGGGTCGGTGGCGCTAAGAGGGCGCGGGGCGCGGAGGGGCGGGGCCGGGCGCCGCGCTGCGCGAGAGGGAAGGGCGCCCCCCGGCGCCAGGTGTGCGCCTCGACGCAGTCGTCGGGCCCCGCTTCTCGCGGGTCGCTGCACAGCTGCCGAGCTGCTCCTGAGGCTGGGCGACCCCGAGCCCTAGGGCGCCTGCCTCGCTCCCCCAGGTCCCGCCCAGCGGCGCAGCGAGCCGGGTCTTCCCCGCCCTCCCGCCCCGGGCTGCCGGCCACTGCCCGACGGGGGAAACCAGACGAGACATTGTTTCCTTTGGGAGCCTTTGACTCGCGCACTCAGTGACTCAGTCTGGCGGGGGCCTTGGAAGTGGGCCCCGTGGCCTGGGCGGCTGCCTCTGGGTCTCTCCTGATCCTCCGGGGAGCAGAGCCGCGTGCAGGCCCCCCAACCCCCACTCCCCAGGTCAGGAATGCGCCCCAGGGCGCCGCCCCTTAGCCCCGAGCAGAGCCTCGGACCTCAGGCTGAGCGCTGCGGCCCGCGGGAAAATTCGCGACTTAGCTGAAAATCTGCAAGTGACTCATACTGTGGTAATTTAGGAATAGCGGATCTAAAGGTTTAGGCTGGAGTGACAAGGTTGCCCCAGGGATGCTCATTCGGTGAAGGTAGACGTTTCACACGTAGAGCACCTGTTTCACGGGCTCCGTGGCTGCGAGGGCAGCCTCTGCCCCAGCCCGCCCGCACGGCATCGCCCTTGGGCCCCCACCCCCGGGCCGTTAGGACCACCTGCGCAGCCTTTCCCAGGAGAAGAGCAGCTGGGCACCCCCTGTGCCTGGGACAGTCCCTGGCGCCGCCTGCGAGGCGGATGCCCAAAGGACGACGTGCCCTGGTGAAGGGGTGCTCCCATTTTCTTGGACCGTCTGCCATGGATTTCATAGAGTTGGGCCAGTTTAGGTCACAGGGCAGGGGACTCTCCCGTTGCCCTCCGAGGGCCCCAGGAGGACGCCGGGCCGGCCGGCCCGTGGGGAGGAGCACGCAGCTTATTTTGCTTAGAGCGCGTCTCTGGTGAGCGCGTCTCCGACCGCAGCGGGAAGTGGGTCCCCTCCACCCGTCGCTTCTGGGAAAGTTCACCGCAGCCCTTCTCCTCGCAGATGTGCGAGTGTGCGCTGCACCCCGTGGCCGATAAACTGCACTGAGTCACTGATCAGATTTCTGAGCGTTTTATAAAGGGAATTGCGCATGGAGGGGGTCATTCCCCACGAGCCCTGACACGGAAACCAGTGAAGAAAATACAGTAAAGATGCTCGTTCTTCCCCATGTCCCCCATCTTCCTCAGAGCACAGCGCCTTGTTGTGTATAGATATAGAAGCAGCTCAGTAGGTGACTGCATAACCCAATGATAGAATGCTGCTTCACAAGTGCCATCATTCACTTCTCCCAGTGGATGTCAACCATTAAAATGGTGCATTTCTCCACTCCCTATTAAGGGATACTGTTGTCATCAATCTTAAGATACCATTGATTTTAAAAAAAGATGCCATTGATTTAAAGACTCATCCTTTTCATTTATGTACCACAAATAAGAAAATATGCTGTCAATTAAATTGTGACATATTGATTGTAAGTAACAGCTCAATTTCAGGATTGTTTAAACATCAAAAAGGGCTTTACAGTGTAAAATATAAACATAATCAATACACTTGGCAAGAGATTGTAACAGATCAAGGATATAAAGTATCTCCACCTGCTCTTCTAAGAACCACATACGTCTCCATGATGGCCACTGTTAAAAGTTTCTGTTCATCATTTAAGATATTGTAACCACATACAGGCATAGGCATCTAAGCATGTAAATCCTTAAAATAAGAATGGAACAATACTCTGGCTACACCACTTTAAAATGTTATGCTTCATTGGTGGAAAATGTTTTTAACCATTTTACAAAACTGTTAAGTTTAAAAGGAATTTTTTTGTTTAGTTATCAGAACAGAATGTACCTCTACTGACATAAAAGAGGGTTGCTGAAACAATGAAATGCTTAACTTCTTTTTGCATATTAACTACAGAGAATGCCGAGTATAGTTATTTCTCTAAAATAGAGCCTTCATGAATGACCCGTTAGGAATGTAAACTGAATCACACAGCCTATGTTATCTTGAGTTGGTTTCTTTAGACTGGGGCTGAAATACAATGAGCAAGGTGGGTGAGTGGTACAGAATGAGGTATGTCCTCTTCACTGTAGGGCAGCGGTTCTCAACCTGTGGGTTGCGACCCCTTTGGCGGTCGAACGACCCTTTCACAGGGGTCGCCTAAGATCATCCTGCATATCAGATATTTACATTATAATTCATAACAGTAGCAACATTACAGTTATGAAGTAGCAACGAAAATAAATTTATGGTTGGTTCACAACATGAGGAACTGTATTTAAAGGGCCAGAAGGTTGAGAACCACTGCTGTAGGGTTTCTAAAAGGGTGTGGTTACCTCACTGAGTGGCCACCTTCAAAATCAGTGGTTTTAACTTTCTCATGCACAAGTGCAGATTCCTGAAGCTGAGGGGATGGTGGTGGTGGTGGTGACAAGTGGAAGGGACACACTTTGAAAACTACTGCTTTGAGAGGTAAAAGAACTGAACAGGATTTCATATAGTAAATGACACAATATTTCAAGCATAGAAAAGTACAGAGTCCAATATTTCACACAGCCTAACCCAGCGTTAACATATATATGTAAGTATAACATATACATCTTATACCAGTTAAGCTTTTTTGTACACTTTTTAAATTCCATTCTTTTTCTTGCCCAGGGGACTAACTTTCTCCCCATGTTTTATTCTCCTAACATTTTGAACTGACAGGTTAGCTTATTAATTTTCACTCCTCCTTCAAATGACCACTTCAGCTGCATTTTGCAAGTTTTGATGTGTATAGTCAGGTCTAAATATTTTGTCAATTTCATTATATGTTCTTCAACTCATAAATTATTGGAGGTTTTGACTGGCTTTTTTTGTGATTTCTAATTTCTTGCTGTGGTCTGTTGGTGACCTTCTATTTTCTGTTTGTTGTTTTCCCCTCAGATTCTACAAAGTTCTTACAATATTTGTATGCTCTTTAGAGCTTCTTGAAAAAGCTATCGCTCTCTACTTCATTTGTTCCATGTCACCCACACAAAAACCTCCTCGCTGCCAGTTTTAGAGCAAGCCTGGGTGGTTTACCCAGGGCAGGCAGTCTGCCCAACCAGAGCGGGTCGCCTCACACTGATACTCCTCAGAAAGGAACTCTCATTTGTATTGGAACCACTTGATGTCAGTTTACGTTTTCTCTGTTTGAACTTGCCTGGCATTAAATAATATGAGTCATTAACTACCCGCTCATAGTGTTTGTGGTATTTAGTAGTGTTTATGACTGAACATGACATGACAATTGTGAGAGTTTTAATCCCAGATTAAATCCCAGACATGCAAGCAGTTTCTTTTAAACCCACAGATGATCTACCTGCTTCAGGTATTCTCACCACCACTCCTCTATTCCAAGCCCTGCAAGGACAACAGTGTATCTCTCCCAAGAACCTGCCTGGTCATTTCCTTGTGGAAGCTGATGGCAACGATACCAGGACTCAAATGAAATCAAGTTGTATTCAAAGCAGCTGTGCGATACTCCAGACTCAGTGCAGCTATCGCCACGGTTGTTTTGCAAGTAAACAGATGGTCTGTAATGAAGTTACAAGCTACCCAGCAGGAGACCTGTTTCTGCCTTGTGCTGTTATAAACCTGCACTGGTATTTTGGGCTTAGCAGTTAATCTCATAATGGGTCAACGACAGTATTTCCACTAATTACATACTATGGATAGGATGCTAGACTATCCCTATGCTAGGTAAAGGTCAAGTGAAAAAGCTTTTGAGTTATATAAAGTGAACTTGATATCTTTTACTTCCAGTATCTGTTCATTTTCCTTCTGCATTGGTGAGGGTTCTCCAGAGAAACAGAACCAATATGTAGATATATATGAGAAGATGATAGGAATTGGCTCATGTGGTTGTGGAGGATGCAAAGCCCCACAATCTGCTGTCTGCAAGCTGGAGAAGCTGGTGGCATAATTCTGTGTGAGTTTAAAGCCCTGAAAACCAGGACAGTGACAGTGGAACTGCCAGAGCCTGGAGGCCTGAGAACCAGGGGCTCCGACGTCCAGGGCAGGAAAAGATGGATGTCCCAGCTCAAGAGGAGAGAGAACCGGCCCTCTGTAGATTGGATGATGCCTGCCCACATTGGTAAGGGCGATCTCTCTACTCAGTCTTCATTCAAAGGCTAATCTATTCTGGAAACACCCTCACAGATCTGAAATAATGTTTTACCAGCTGTCTGGGCACCCCTTAGCCTGCCCGAGTCGACACAGAAAAATGAACCATCACACCTTCCAATGGATTAAAGAGATTTTGTACCCTAAGGAAAATGACAGTAAGACCACCTGTCTCCTCCTCAGCTTGCCTTCGGGGCCTCCACCTCTGCTCTGGACTCACAGAGGGACTGAAACCGTTTCTGTCCTCCGTGGCTTACAGACTAGTTAAAAGGATTCTATCTCAACCTCTTACTAAGTCCTGGTTTCAGTAACAGAGGCAATAGATTTTTCAAAGCACCGATCAGCAGTAAGACCGTCCAATGCTCACTAGAATCTCTCAAAATATAGACAACTTTCACCACTTAGAGTTCTGTGGTTTGCCTCTTGGGATGTTAGAGGAGTACCACAAATCCCTACTAAACCGCAGTCCAAGACATAAAACGTACATCATGAATAGCACCTCTAATTACTACCCAACCACACACACATTATGGTTCTGTTTTTTCAGTGACATAAGGGAGTGGTGCATGTCAGAAAACGGAGTTGTCCTCTTTATTCCAGCGTGCACTGGTTTTCCCTCTCTCGGAGATCACTAGAGCATATCCTTTGAGAGGGTGTGGGAGGCAGTTAGACGTGAGCAGAGAAAGAATGATCGGCCAAGTGCAGAAGGGCACCAGGACAGAAAGCCCCAGGTGCCTAGCAACAGGCAAAACTGGGAAAACAAGGACCTCTCCCCCAGGGTAACCTTTCTTACCCCAGCATTTCACTGGTTTCATGCGGTTAGGACCCGCCCCTGACCTTTCCCCACTGGCATGCGGGTTAGTCCCCTTAGGGGGGGGGACTGACAAAGGGG